AAGTATATTCCTTCCTATACCTAAAAATCTCACTTATGTTCCCTAGACTGGGGAGTCTCATTAAAACATTTGCACCTGGGAAGATTTCATTCATTTATTATTTGTTTTAGTCAAAACTATTTTGATATGGTCATGCTGTTGTGAAAATTAGATGCGAAACTAATGCTTATTTGCTTTCTTGTCAAGACTTAGATGAGGTGAGAGACTGTTGTCTGTGCATCATGTATGGAGCTTAGTGTCACATAAAGAGTGGAGACAAGGGGATATAATTAACTTGGCTCTGTTCAAAGTTCAAAAATTTGCTTTCCAACACCGCGTAACACATTTTGTCTTGCTTGTTTAATCCTAAACACAATTAAATGTAAAAACCACAATTTAGTCTGTGTTTGTATTTCTTGCTGAGGTGCTAGCAAGGTGTATTTATGAACCTTCAGCTTCCAGTCTTAATGCTAAGCTTAGCTAATCACATGCTCTAGTTCCATACTTAATGCACAAGAAAATGGCATTGGCTTCTGATTTAACTCTCAGCAAGAAAGTAAATAAGCATCTTTAACCAAAATGTCAACACCAGCAGACGAACAATATCACACTCATGATGACTCAAAGAATCAAAGCCAGACTTTTGTTGCCTGATGGGGTTTTTTGGGACATGTTTGAACAAAAAGAATCAGCAGCAAGAATATTCAAAACAGCTCCTCACAACATGAAATTACATTTTTTTTTAAAACTCAAGTTTCTGCAAGGTGTCTGCAGTGAAAATGATATTGTCATAAAATGAACAATGTTTCCCTGGAACGAAGGAAATTCCTCTAAACAAATCTAGATATGCTTTGGAAGCTTATTAGCGGTAATGTTAGGTATACACAATCTGCAGTTACAGATATGGGTTAAAACATGCAAAACCACCGATACAATCCTTTATAGAGGTGATTCAAGCAGCACTCACCAACATTATGACTGTGGACATGTGTTATCTGTCTCTATCACTATGCTGCCTGAGGCTCCAGTGGAATTCGACCATTAGACCAGGTTTGTAACATAGGCCTGTTGTTTCAGCAATTATTTTGTCCTTTCCATTCTTGAAGTCTGTAAGATTAAGCCCCAAATGTGGCAGCCATAGTCTTTAGTTAAGACATGTATGCAACTTCAGTTAAATGCATAAACAAGGGTTTTGGTGAGCGATGAACATCTGCACATACAGATCATTTCTGATGTACAGATAGAACTGGTGGAGAAATCTCTGTCAATGTAATTTCTTATGTGGCCCAAAAATGTTAGTGAGAAAATAACATTAAAGAAAATGCTGCTTGTTTCAGCAGGCCCTCTGTTTTACAAGAAAAAACACAAGTAAGGTTATAAAAATCACAGTGGCAAGGCACATAAGCTTCTAACATTACATTTTGTGGCAAAGAGCAGGCCAAGATCCCATGAAGGCCTGGTGTAAAAAAAAAAAAAAAAGTATCCCTCGGTGTCAAAACAGAATGCTTTCATGCTAAACCAATATAATACCTTCAAAATAACATCTCACATACCAAGTATATTCCTTTTTACAGGGTTTGGTATTGAGGATACCGGTGAAATCTCATTTATATCCCTTGGCCTCCTGCATGTTTGAATCTCATTGAACTATTTGCACCTGGTGAGCATAGTATAACACACTTTAACAGGAAAAACAAGTTGATGGATAGGTGGGAAAACTGACATTCTTTAACTTTCTTATTGTTATATTGCAATGTCTGGTTGTTTGGTAAAGAAAGAAAGAAAGAAAGAAAGAAAGAAAGAAAGAAAGAAAGAAAGAAAGAAAGAAAGAAAGAAAAAGTTTCTATATTAAAGGTGAATTGCCCTGGTAAGTTCAAACAACTTTCACCCTATGTTTTACAGAGCAGTAAAATGTATCTCACACAGTTGTATAGAGTGTCTGGTTCAGACTGGGACACTAATGGCCTGTTTTGTTAAAAACAGTATGAAACACCTGAGGGAAGAGCTGGTACACATGTGCAGGCCATGTGTGATAACAGCAGAATTTACTGTGAAGCTTTAAAGCCACAGTGAATCCAAATAACAGACAGCTAACATCAAGTTCAATACACCACTTTTGCAGACTGTGGTGAGGCACTAACACCCGAATTTACATGAGCAAGCCAAACTGTGCATTTACTCAGAAACTTAATTAACCCCCCACACCAACACACCAACACCAGTAACAGCAGACACACACACACACGCACACACACACACACACGCACACACACACACACACACGCACACACACACACACACACACACGCACACACACGCACACACACACACACACACCACACACACACACACACACACACACCCACACTAGTTAAATGGAATTTCCTTTTCAACATGTATCGACTGTATTATTTTGAAGCTTGTGCAACATTTTCTTTCTACTTTTTGCCAATAAAGCTTGCCAACATGTCTCAAATTTAACCCAGCTATTCAGCATTTTTGGTTAATATACCTATTAGAGTTGGCAATAGTTTATCTACAGCTGCCATAATTCTTGAATGAATAGTAAAACAGGGCAGACATAAATACACAAATTTGCTATATGATAAGTTTTTGGAGTTGTAACAGTTCAGTCCAGTGTAACAGTAAGATTTTGAGCAAAATAAAAACCAACAAAAAGGTTTTTAAGTTGCAACTGTTATTGTTGAACAGAATTTGAAAAATGTGAGATTTTTGACATCCACAATAAAAACACAAGTGTTTTTAAGACATATATCATTTCCTTTATCCTGTGAGTCTCAGTCAATGACTGTGATGAAGACAGATTTAACAGAAACAACAACCAAGTGCTTACAAGATGTTTGCATGGTTTTTTTTTTTTTTTTTTTGGGGGGGGGGGGGGGGGGGTTGGAATTCAATTGAGAAGTGGCCATTGTGCATTGGTGAGAAGGAAATAGAGGATGCTCATAAATCTGGAGTCCTAAGAACACATCTGTTTATTGTTGCTTCTGTTCCTTCCTCTTGTTCTCTCCTCCCTTTCATCCAGGTCTTCAGTACTGAAATGCTTTTCACACCAGTTTACAGTGCAAGGATTTTTAACTGTTTCCCGTTGGGTGATTGGTATTCATCTAGGAGACACAATCTACTTTTCTGACAGGTCATACAAAGGTCAAGGTGGCCTCAGGAAGTCTGTTTCAGCTGGTACCACAGTCATACCATGTGGTATGACTAGGATGCTTAGAGATGAGCAGGATATTACTGTGGTTACTTTCCAGTCAGGAGGCTCTTCTCCCAACAGCAATATATCCTGGTGATTGAGGGATACTTTGGGAGGATTGGGAAATAACAGAGTTTCTAGCAACCATGAGCAATATAAGCAAGTATATTCAGCATTTTAAAGTCTTAAAATTGATCAGCAAAACTCGCTCTACATTATTTCTTTTTTTCTTATACAGTGCCAGTGTACTTATGATCCTCTATTTCTATTATATATTCTGCAATATGTTACATGTTTTTGTGCCAGTCTTAGTTCATGGTAAGCTAATTTTTTTCAACCAGTGGACAGATCACCTCATCAATGCTACATGTAAAAAAAAAAGAATAAAGCTGAAAAATCATTCAAAAATGTTTTTCATAATGGTTTGCAAATGGCCTGACCTGAATAAGGGAGGGAGTATGAAACCAGATACAAACTATCTGCCGGTTATTGAAAGTGCTGAGTCAGTCAGTCACACCTCTTATTCATACAGGGGTCACTCCCACCTCCTTCTTCTGCCTCACCTGCAAAAAGACATGTCTGTGCACATACAGTGCAGCCTGTTAGTATTTGGACAGTGGCACTCTGTTGTTCTGGCTCAGTGCTCTGGCACACCACATTTGGAAGGAAACAATGACAATCTGGTCAAACCACTGACTTAGCTTTAAGGGTGTCTGAGAATGTTCACATGAGCACCCTAAAGTCCAGTATTGTGCAGGAGAAAAATGGGCAGGTTATGATTCCTACACTATTCACACCGTGTGTATGTAAACAACCTTAAATTATAGAGCTGAATGTCCGCTCGTCACCCTCTACCCTCCCTTTTTTTTTCTTTTCAAATCCATTGCTGGAGTATAGACAAGACATAAATGAACTTTCCAAATATGTACTCTATTGTTATCTGTGTGGCAACTTTACCACAAGTAAGTAAAGTAGTAAAGTATGGTAAAACTACACACAGGTTCAAGACTAAATAAACACAAATACTGAACGATTGTTGTGGCATTAAATAATGATTCCTTCTCAGAAAAAAAAAGAAAGACTGTAAATAACCTGTTTTTTTCTTGTCTGGCATGTGGATGTGGTTTAGAAGGGTGTAGGATGCCATGTCATTTTCAGGGTGCTGTGTTCTGTCAGTAAACTTCGTGCCCTCTCATTAGTATAAACACTACCAGCAGGGGAGACAGGGTGTCAGCTCTAGGTTTGGTGTTACTTTTTCTAAAAAAAATACAAAAATATCCATTAAAAACGCATATAACAGAGGCTGAAGTACTGGCTGCAAATGCACTTTTCACAAAGCAGAAGGTTTAAATGTAAAACACAGCTATGTTCTTTCACTCTGTGCAGTGTTTGGTTCAAATCTCCTCATTATGTTAAAATAAAGGAGATCAAATGAACCTGCCGAACAACAGACCCCCACCCCCTCTGAAAAACAACAACAACAAAAAAAAAACTGTAAAACAGCCTTTTGGTTGTACAGTTGTAAACAGACTCCTCCAGCTGGGAAGTTTCCATGCCACAAGGAAATGCCATGTTCTCTGGAGCTATCACCGTCAACATATCTATGATTACTGCATCCTTACAGACTGTTTGATGCAATTACTATAAACAGTGACTTTTATCAGCAGTCATTCCCTTTCCGCTTCACTCCGGATAACAATCCATGGGAAAGGGGTTGCTGATGTACATTAAACACAAAATAACATAAGCTTTACTCAATACATCGTGTAACACTTGTAAAAGCAAGTCAGGTATATATGCCATTTTATTAGGTAGTTCACAGTTTTAAAAAACCTTTCAGTTAAAAAACTAACAAATTTACAACTAATTGATGGTGTACCTGGTTTCCACATAGAAAAACCAAAACATCAATGATAGTGGACAAAAGAGTCTCCACTGAAAGGGCTTCTGGAGCTTTCAACCGCATCATGGTGAACTTCAAAGGATGAGAAGTGCTCAGAATAATGGAAAGTTTAAACTTCTACAGTTCAGTTATTGCTGAGCAAACTCTATCTGCTGATGAATACAGTGTGATGTAGTTGAAAACCCCAGAAAAAGTTAGTAAGTGGCCCTTGAGTGGAGTTTGTTTTGTCAACTGCTGTGCAAGGTCAAGAACGAACCGTTAAGCTCAAATCTATAGTACATTATAAGTACACTCAAGTAACAATGTAAATCAATACAAGTTTATGTATGGTCAGTATCAAAGCAAGGTGCATCATGAAATGAACAGTACTGAATTATACAGTGCCAGACTACTAACATTTCCTGTTTAAACTAGGGTAATATTTTCTTTGGAAATATTTCTTTGCTAAGACATGCACTTGAAACTAATTAATCCTGAATTATGGTATGAAAACAACTTTCACCATACAGTGTTTCTTGCAACACAACATAGTAAAGTAAGTTGCAACACAACAGTAATTATACTTTCCCATAATAGCCTACTAATCCTAATATTAAGGGTGCGAGTCTCAGGAGCTTAGGGTGTGTCGTGCTATGTTGTTATGAATCTCTTTAAATGAAAAATCAGCACACTGTCAATGATTACCTCTAGACCTTTTAAATTCTTGAAATACAGTGGGATCTGAGACCACTTTCCTATTCACTGTCCCTTCACTGTATGTAAAGAGACACCTGAGCTGACCCCACAGCACAATAGTGTTCAACATCAAACTGGAACTACATGATCAGATCTTCATATAGTTTAGGCCTTGGCAAATAAAGATTAGTTTCTCAAGTGTTTATCCAACTTAAGGCCTTTGCTATTGGTTGCTTTGTTGAGCTCTTAAATTGTACTTATAGTAGGTCTACAAACAATGGCTGAATGCTTAAACATTTATTTTACAGACCTTTCATCGTACTAGCAATTCTTCAGATGTCCAACACAAGAGGTCAGGACTCAGAGTCAGTATCTTTGAAAACTTACAGTACAGCTCATACGTTTTTTGTTCTGGCAGCTTCACAACAGCTTTTATCTTCCTCTGGCAGCTAAGTCCCACAAAAACTGTCTGATAATGGGCCATGAACTTTACATTTTATGAAATAGTCCAGAGTACACCATGAACAGTTTGCTTAGTATCTTTTGATGCCAACAATCTTAAAATACCGAAATCTTATTTTGCCAATTTTTTTTCTGTTGACAACAGATTTGCCTGCAGACACATTCAGGACAAAGCATGCATACAATTTCTTAAGAACTAAATAAACCAATCCCGCTTGCATGTCCAAACATAACAGTACAACCTTCAGGCCTCGTACAGTGGAGTTACAGTGCCGTCCTTCCACTCAATCAGGATTTCTCCACGTTGTAAAGTGGGGGAGGAGTGTGGGAGGCGCATGGCGTGCTCTGTCAGTGGGGCCCTTTCACTAGGCACCGGGGACCCAGGAACACTCACCTCTGGCCTCACGGTGTATGACTTCAAAACACACACCACCTTCTTCCTTCTGGCACAGCAAGACAGAAAAACGCAGAAAGTGAGCGAACACATAACATTTCACTTTTTATCAGAGCTTTTTGAAATGTTTCGCTCAATATATTCCTCACATTTTTCTCCCCCAGTAAGGTTTTGTATAAAGTGTTGTATCTTCATTTAACTAGGCTCTATGTTTTCAAATTGAGTTTCATACATTTTTTGTTAAAATATTAAAATTAAATTTAAATTAATTTTTTTTTAATTGGTTAGGGTTATTGGATATGGGTATCCAGTGTCTATTGCAGTCTGTTTTGTATTTATGTTCTTGTGTTTCAATTAACTCATTACACTCAAATGTCAAATGGCCAACCCAAATTACTTAGAGACCAAAATCATGAAAAAAACACCCACACACACAACTCGAATGTATCCAAATTACAATGAATAAAAGAGAAAAAATAAGTAAAATCTTGTCTGAGAAGCTGTTACCAGTAAAACATCGGCTTTTTTTTTTTTTTTTTTTTTACCAGATAAATGATTAACTGATCTACAAAATGATACTTAATTAATGTTATGTTGTTATCTAATTAATGAATCCACTTATCTTTTCAAAAGTAAATCTATGAAAATAAAATGTCTACTTTCACGTGTGTTATTCGTCTGTTTAGGCACTCACCTATTGGAGTAAACATTGAGGATAAGAATAACAGTTCCCAGTACCAGAGCCAAAGAGCTTAGTACCAGCATGGTTATCTTCCAGCCCATCCCTATATACACATATACAGTGAGTATATACATGTTCACATGCATAAACAGACCAAGCAACACACCATGCATTTCACAAGACACACATTTAAACTTTCAACTATTTATCTCTTTCTACACTATGAATCTTTGTTCATGCATTTGCTTAATTCCTGTCAGGGCTCTGAACTTGCAAATAAAAGCCTATTGAAACTCCTTCACAATCATTACACACCCACCATAAACTTTGCTAAGTTTCTTGTTCATCTGTCTCCACCTAGTGGTGCAAAAGTAACTCTACAACTGAACTGTTAAGGCTTCTATGTCAGGCTACATACAGTATTGTTGAAAGAAATGATTTCCACTCATAATACTGGTCATACAGAGGATACATTCAGTCTTTTATTGAATACAGTTTACTAAACCTACCATAGTCCATACTGAAGAAAATCATGGTGGGATCTGCAGGGGATTTTGTACTCAAGGATGAAAGAGTCCCATCTATTAAGGGATATGTTTCTGTGCCCTTGATGTCCATTATACCTTCAACTGGAAGTGGGTGGAAAAAAGAAACAAGTCAACCAGAGGTGATGACTGAAAGTGATATAGATTTGATTTCTTCATCATCTGTGGAGGCCATAAAAATCACATGTTCTAACTAAGCCAGTGAATCAGCATTTCCAGGACTTGACAAGTCACAACGATGCTGTTTCATGGAGTGGCTGGCTGTCTTCCAGAGAGAGGGACATATTGATTGCTCAAATGCGCACTTAAATGAATTAGATCCTCAGCCTAAAGTAGGCATGTTGTAATCTAATCTCCAGGCGGAGGCAGATAAATAATGCTACTGAGATCAGACATACCACATGGATTTTTTACTTTTCAACTTAAAAAGATTTCGAAATACTCTTAACAGAGCTAACCAATCACAATGCATGGGAAGAAGGATATCCTGTAAAGGCTCCATGTCGGTGCATTCAAAGAAATCAAAACATTCAAGCTCAAGCTTTGAGGATCAGCTGCTGAATAGCAACCCTTTGAATGCAAGAAAAAATGACTAAATTCAATATCCTTTTCATGAAGTTCATGTTTACTTGGTGGGAAGTAAAGCTGTCAGTGCATAGATGTGTTTCCATGAACACATCACTGGGAAGACTTTTAAAAAATGGTCTCTGCTTGCAACATCATAACAACAAAACAATAATCTTCTGTTATTTTTTTCTAATAATCACCTTAATTTCTTATAATCTACTGCAAGACTCCCACAAAATAAACAAATAATACAGAAATAACACGCTGCATTCTCATATGAAAAGGATTTCCTCTAAATCCAGTCCCAATTTTCTGCAAGTAAACATGTACACTGCACTGGCATGACCTAATACCACTAGCTGGCTAAGAAGAAGGAAAACCATCAAAATAAAACTCATGTGATTTGAAAAATGGTTAGCAATAATGTCAAGTATTTACATTGTTGCTAGTGCGACTTATAATTAAAAGGTGGTTAGTAAAGCCAGTGGTTGGACCTTTAAGGTAGTGTGTGTTACTTTTATTAGTGTAAACTAATAAGATAACATTCAGTAGACTACAGCTAATGAGATATGTCCTTACATGGTTCAGCCTGTCTGTGCATATCAGAGATGGCAGGTTCCAATGATTTTCCCAGATAGTGGTGGGATTGGTCTTGGTGTTGGTTATGTTTGCTATCTCTCCCATTACACAATGTCTGGTTGTCAAGTGTCCGCCACCTGCTGCCCTGCTTGTGAAGGGTGGGGGTAAAAAAAAATCTACAATATACAATTCCTCCCTACTTTTTACATACATTTTAAATCATTTGATTAAAATACTATCAGATGTTATGTCACATAGAGAAGGACTTCCTCCATAACCTCATTACCTGCTTATGTTCCTGCGAAAGGAAGACCAAAGTGGATTCTGGTGTGGCACTGAGGTGCAGTCCCCTCCCTATCAAGGTGAGGTGGCCTTTCTTGGAACAGGACCACGCCTGGCTGCTTGCATCTCTGCCAATATCCACTGCTGCCAATCCGTCACCTATCTCGTCACTTTCAGTCATAAAGATGCAGGGCTGCAGATGGACACCTTCATACTGCTCTCTCGGTGCAGTCAGACACTCCCCAGTGTGGTGACTGCTGAGAGCCTGGCTCTGTGGGACCCAACGCCATTCCTGTAAGGGTGAATATGGGCTGCATTCCCCCAAGGACACTCTACCTCCCAGAATTCCTTCTTGCACCTGCAGACATTTACCTATCAGCTTGTTCCGAATCTTTAAGCCTGACGCCCCTGTGGAGGACACATGAAAAAAGAAGCCTTGTCCAAACCTTTATCTTAACTCAATTTTATAAACATTTCATCTCATATGGAGAGGGAACTAGGTATAAAGTGGTAAAAATTAGTTGAGATAAATATTCTAACTCAATTTACAACAAATTTCTCACCTGAGCAAATACATCTGTTGAATTTGACCTTAATAAATGCCACTGAGGTAAAATATTGGTTTGTTTACAGTGTGCATAATATTCTGGTTGTCTAATATGAGATGAGATGACTCTTGGACTAGAGGACATGAGAACAATGGTGTCAACAGAAGACAATGTCGAGCCAAATTCCATTAAAGAGATGGCAATTTAATATTTCTTTGCTTCTTAGCAAACTTGTATCATAAATTATTACTTCAGATGTTTATGAAATACGCGTTTTGTGATACTTGGCTCTAATCGGCATTCAGCCGAAGCAGCAAACAGCAATTAATCTTGTTCTTACGACAATTTTCAACAATTTTCTAGCTAATATCTCGCTCAACTATTCGGGTGGAAGATGAAGAAGACAGCTAAGCTAAACAGATAAAGTTTGTTACCTACTTAACGTTAACGTACACCCTAATATTGATTCATATACCTAATATTAATGTAGCTTGGACTTGGAAAGTGTCTTTCGGCAACTACGATGTATGCAACAATTTGGACAGCTAACGTCCTTGTTGTCCTTAACTTCTGAAGTCAAACAAGTACAGTTATATTCGCTAGCTGACTAAGAAGAAAGTTACGTCCCTTACTATTTGTCTTACTTTTAAAAATGACGACGACAAGCAGAAAGACCCACAGCAGTCTTCTCCCCATGGCGATGGCGATGACAGGCAGAGATAGTTTGGAGTCTTGCATCTATTAGCAACAGCAACTAGTGCAAGTGGGCGGGTACAAAACTTTACGCAACCTCCCTCTGTGCATCCATCACATGGATGGATGAATAGAGAGGCCACGCATTCCTTCTAAAAACACTTCAAAAGGGAAATGTAGTGTTGTCAAATCGAAATGTCATCGAAATGCTTTGTCATTTCTTGGGTAAATTTTAAAAATGTCTTCAACGAGGGCGCACAGGTGGCTCAGCTGGTAGAGCGCGTACCAGTTAGTTTCAGGCCTGACCACAGCGGCCATGGGTTGGCCCTTTGCTGCACGTCATCCTCTCTCTCCCCAACCTTCCTTTCACTGTCCCTATCCGAATAAAGGCAAAAAATGTCTATGACAGGTTTTGAAAGCTTCCACTCTTGCTCATTTCTTCTCACATGCAAGTACAGTAGGTGGTCATTGTATAGGTCTCTTGTTATGGACAAAAATCGTTGTGGGCTGCTGTGTTGATTTGTGTATTGTTTTGCATATTCTGCTTACTGTCTCTCTTTGCTCTGGAAAATTGTGTTTTTCAAAAAAAATATACACAACTCATAAACACTCCTTGTTTACCACCATGGCAGGCAGGAAAATGTGTTTACTACCAGTGTGTTACAACTCCATGGACTACCAATTAGATTTAAAGATCATAAATCTGTTATAAGGAGAAAACAGTGTTCCAAGCTGAATAGGATTGCTCACTCGTTACTGTGAGGAATGGGACAGCTTTTGGGGCCTGCATGGTCACATGATGTTTTTCTCTATCATGATGCACCACAAAGAATGTGAGAGGCCTTGATCAAAATGAATATATTCAGTGGAATAGGGACAATTTAAACTTTATCTCCTAACAAAATTTGAGAATTGTTCCCATTTTGCCTGCAACTCTTACAGTTGCTCTCTGTACGACATCTGAGGTTTTATTTACCAATCCAAACCATATTTGCTGGTTTCCACATTGGTTAACTTTAAGCTTGCACACAGAAGAAAACTAGTTGAGTTAAATGACCTAAATAATTTGATGTGCATGAATAAATAAACATCTGTATTGAAAGTAAGGAACCAAGTTTAAATATGCTTTGTTACGTCCCTGTCTAGGGGAGTGGGAGAGCAACATAAAAAAAATGTGTTGCCCCCCTGGTCCCCTAACCAAAGTCTGAATACCAAATGCAGTCACAGTGAAATAATTTATTACTACAAAATGTGGAATGGTGACAATATACTTAAGCAATATAGCTCAGGGTGAACCAAGGCCAAAACAACAAACAAAAGAATATATCTCCTCAAATTGTGCTAACTAATCCCTATGTGAAACAAACAAACAAACAAACAAAGGGACATTTTCTAAACCAAGAGTAAATAAAAGCTGTAGAAAACAGTGCCAAATAAAATGGCAGTTCGTCCCAACAACTTCAGTGCTATTTATGAAGAGAAACTTCCTATTCTATTTACAGAATTTCCAAGATCACTGACAACAAGGGCAAAAGGCCCAACAATTTTACATCTAATACACACAGTCACTACACAACAAAACTACAGTACCAGCTGCTGTTGTCAGAAAGCTACCTGCAGATTGCAGGGACCCAGGGCATTTCAAAATGCAGGATATTGCAAATGAACTGATCAGTTGCAGACATCCTCACAGGAGGAGAGCAATCACTCTCACACTCACACACAACACAGGACATAAACTAGAACAGAGCTAAGGAAATACAGCCAGGGCCGTAACAGTTATTACTAAACTTAATACAACAATCTTCCCCTGTAAAATGACATGAATGAGGGGCACAGACAGGTAGTTTTGGTTTTACATCAGAACACACACACACACCCAGACACACACAGTCTAAACATATGAAACATTCTTTCATATATAACATGACTGTAAAAGAATGTTAAACAGTAGGGCAAATACAAAATATATTTTCATTTGTAAACAGCAAATATTTTCCCATTTCACATTAAAAATAGCTCAAATACTCTCATCATCATCATCCTATTTCAACCCTATTTGCTTGTGTTCCTTCTGGAGCTCAGATTTTATGATCTGAGCCACGAGTGTAAGAGGAAGGAAGGGAAATGTCCATATATGATGGAGGTCCTTCTCCCTGTTGGAACTGATGTGAAGCAGCAGGAGCTTGATAGTGTACTGAAGATGATGGGAAGGTTGCAGCTGGAAAATACGGAGCAGGCTGTTGTGGCCACTGATTATTATAGCCACTTGTTATGTTCACAGGTTGAGCGGGAAATGGCGCTGAGTATCCATAGGGACCTGGACCTGGGGGTACATGATAAGGTCCAACGGGGAAAGCAGGGGGAGGGAAGTCGCTGTAACTTGGGCCCCCAACAGCCTCCGGTGGGTAAGGCCCCACAACCTCATGAGCCTGAGGGTTAGCAAAGCCAGCAGGAACGATGACCAGTGGAAACACCACCTCCGGGTCAGTGGCAAAGCTGATGTCCAAATACACCTGGGAAATGAAAACACACATTATTGAGAGGTTGAATCTGTCTACAGCAGAAATGTTTTAAACTAAACTGCCGCTTATTGAACTATTATTTAAGGTGATTGTGCTTACTGATGGATAAACATGATTTCTGTTTGTTAGAATGCGGAGTCATGTTTATATTTATACTATAATTTTATGAGGAATTTTGCTTTGATGTTTTATATTTCCAATGATTGTAGAAGTGTGTGATTTAGGACAAGGTTTCTCTGTGCTACAATTACTTAACCACCAATATCAATTAATTCATTACTGAGTTGATGTAGCATCACTATTACATTACATACCTTGAGGTAATAGTTATTTGAGAGGATGTCACAATTTTGGATAGAGTAGATGGCATCATCAGGAATCTTCAGTTGGCAGTAGACTGTTTCCTCTCGGTTTGCTGCGATAGTTTCCCCCAAACCTTTGCATAGACTTGTGTCACTAGTTTTAGTTGAGCCACTGGCGCTGTAGACTATTTTCTGATGTAGACTGAATTTGGGCCTCATGGTTTTGGAAGAGAAGTTGTGGATTTTGGCAACAACAGACAAGGTGTCACCTATCAAAAACAAATCATAAATAAATATAAATATGATGTATAAATATATCATATACAAATAATTGTATAGTTTTCTACATTGTATGAAGAAAGCATGTAAATAACTTTAATCACCTTTGTTTTGATATGTGGTAATCCTGCTAACATTAACACTTCCATTTGACTTAGCAATGAAACAATGTACAAAGTTGTAAATATCTGATATTAGCTGAGAATTTACTACATTTTATGTCTCAAATTGACACTTTGAAAGTAAGTGAGCTGTAGTGACTTTACCTGGAGCGCAAACCTTTCTGTCAACCGTAGCAGACATTTGGACCTGTCCTTTAGAAAAAATTCCCATCTGTTTATTTACTGAACCAGATTGTGGACACTAGAACAAATGAAGAAAATAAAGATCATTTCATAGCAGTTTACAGATGAAATTCAAAGTCCAGGAGAAAATACTGTCATCTCACTATTAACCTTTGAATTTGTCCAGGGAAACAGGTGAACTTCTACTTCCTCAACATAGTTCACATTATATTGTATAGACCGTCACGTTGCTGTACTTCCTGCTGTCTGCCTTTTCCCCATCATATTTAAATATAGTACACACATTCTTAAGTCATTTGACTGTTTTCAGCAGCTACAAGCCACTTTAAGTACTTCAGAAATCAAAACATTTACTTTCATTGTAAATGTGGAACTAGTCTATTAAATGTATAACCTTTATCATTGTAGCATCCCACTTACCATTACTTGTTGAGGGTGTGTTAAAGACCTCGAAAGAAAACAGATATGCTTTTGTACTCCAGAGGGAAACCGCCAGCTCCTGGACATCTTGGCTTCAAGCGTGTAGTCAATGTTTCCATGAAGCCCCTTGAAGGTTGATGGCATTTCCCTGTAAGACAGAACCGGTCCACAAATGCAGCAATTTGTAAAAGCAGACACTGATACAGTACTAATGCTATAGATGCTGGAAAAGTCCCACTTACCCCTGTGGGAGTTTCATCCTGAACTTAAACTGATGGACCCCCTCAGAAAGAACAGTGTCTGCAAAAGAAGCGAGAATTAACACTAACCAGTCACCTGACAAGCAGACAGTGGAAACTTCCTCACGTATACCAGTATCAAAAAAAGCCTATGGGTGCAGTACCATTTACAAGGCTATAAAGATATTATACAATCTATCCATTTTATCATACTGACACCTTTAATTTTAGACAACATATAATATGTATACGTGTTGAGATAAGTAAGAATAATAAAGACTTCTTTGGCCTACCTTTATCATTTTCTGCGACTAAGCACTCTTTGATTTTGAAGTATTTCCTGTGAGCACTGTACGATCTCCTGTCGTCTTGTGATCCTTCCGACCACCTAACGCGTGCCTCCCCTTTGACTTTCACGGAGAGACTCTTCACTTTCGTGTTTTTCGCCAAAGTCAAACTAACTCTGCCTGACACCGTATCTCCTTCGGAAAAAGTGCCCGCTTCGTTGAGAGCTTCATAAGTCAGATCGAACTCCTTGATCCGAGACATTCTTCACCTGCTGCTTTACAGCACGCAGCACTGAACCAATAGTCCTGCTGGCACTCAGGCACTTTTTAAACAAGCCTACATCCGACTACACCCGAACAGTGAAGCCACTATAAAGCTTCCAACATTGCGTCAACATCCTTTACGAGAAGGCACGCATCATAATGCACAACAGGTTATTCAGTATTTCACAATTGAAGGTGATTAATGGCTATACAAACTCGAGTTTAAATAAACTTATATGTGTGGGCCAAGCATTATACAATGTGAGCTATGTTATATTATTAGGCTATTAACTGATAGGATATGAAATTTCAAATTACTTATAGATAAAAACAAAGAAACAGGTGCATCTTTGTAAGATGGAAGATGTTAAGAACTGTACTACCTAGTTACCTACATTAGTTATTACAAGGTGTTCACACAAACACTGAGAGATTCCCAGAGAAACTTTACCTGACAGTTCTTTATTCCAAGACAACACTGGCAATTTGTTAGTATAACAACAAATCAGGTTTGCAAAGTATTGTTACTAATGACACAGATAGAAGTCGCTGTCTCATGTTAAACTCAACAGACATTAAAATAAATGGAAAATATATATTTGGCCCCTTCACTGAAAAAAAAGTATAAAAAGTTTTTTTTTTCTTAACACAGTAAGTAGCCTCCACACAGAATAGTGAGGTAGAGAGTAGGTATTAACTGTAAGGCAGAAAAATTGATCAGCGGGACACTTGAGTTGAACAAGGCACGTAAAACACAGTGTATCCTGATAACTGAGGTTGGAGTGAGTACTTTAGGAGCTGGACAAAGCCAATTACCAACCTGACAACTGACCAGAAAACCACTAACACATACAATTCAAAAGTCCTACTTTTATATATAATTGTTTGCATGCAAACAGTAAATATTGCACTCAATGATTTTTTTTAAATTTAAAATCACGCTTCAAATTTAACCACACCAATAGCCTAAATAAGACATGATTTATGTGATCCGATTTTGCATTGTTAACTATTCTATTTATTTGCATCAGGCGTGTCAGTTGCAGAGGATGGGAAAAGGAGAGAATACGCTGGAGGAGGTTCATCTGATTGAGACAGGAAGTCTGTGTTCATCATTGGTGTAGAAGGCAGTGCATTGTATGAAGGAGCAGTTGGGGATATGTTAAACGGTGCAGAAGGGGATGGCTGGATCTCTGGGGCAGATGGGGATGGATGAAACGCTGGAGCAGTAGGCGGAGGGTGAAGCACAGAAGTTGACGATGAGGATGAAAATGGAGATCCATATGGAGAAGCGTGCTGTGGCACTGGGTTATTGTAGCCCCTGCTCATGTGTGCTGGCTGACCCCAGTACACATTGGGTGGTGCAGCATACATTTGTGGGCTAGCTGGGTATGCAGGTCCTGGTGCTGAATACCTTTGAGCTCCTGGGTATTCGTGACTGCCTGAATGTGGGGATGCAGGAGAAGAATGCTTAGACACTGCTAGGGGAGGGAAGTCGCTCCTACTTGGGCCCCCAGTAGCCCCAGCTGGATAGGGACCCGCAGCCACACCAGGCTGAGTGCCAAGAGCTAAGTCAGGAGGAAGAATGACGACTGGGAAAGTGACCTCTGGATCGGAAGCAAAGCTGATGTCCAGATACACCTGAAAAAAAAAAAAAACACTGCTTCATTAGCACATGATGCTTTACTTCTACACCTGACAGTTACAACAAATTTGGAATTTTAACAATATTTATGGGTTAGCAGTGTTACAAAATCAGGGAAATAGCTCTGTCAACTGCCTTATCTTACTGTGCTTTACCATTAAGATCCACTGTTACATACCTTTAAATAGTATTCCACTGAGATAATCTCACAATTCTGGATTGTCTGTATCTGACCATGAGGAATCCTTATTACACAGCTGACGCTCTTCTCTGTGTGGGATCTAATACAGCTGTCAACCACCTTGTGGATAACGCTTCTTTCTTGCTTCACATTGCTGCTGGCATGGAACAAAACATCCCGGATTAAACTGAATTTGGGTGTCATGTCACTGGATGAGGAATTGTTGATTTTTGCAACAATTGCCACTGTTTGACCTATGAGGAAAACAACATAATATTTTACATTATTTTTCATGTATTATTCCAGTATTGTTAATATATAAAGTTTTTTACTATGCCTGAGAGGCACACCTTACTCACATTACATGAACAGTGCTGAGATGATAAACCCCATCCTAAAGTATTATATTTCTTTCAACTGTTTTATTATAGTTTTAATAAACCCTTCACTGACAGACCATTTTCCTGGCAGACATTTTAGCCTGTCAAGAGCACAGGTGTAACTAGTGTCATTAATGCTGGGTCATCTATAATGAAGTGTGTTAGGATAACAGAAATGTAAACCAGCATCCACAACACCAGAGCACTGGAGTAGAGACATTCAAATGGAACTAACCTGTTTTTCATGTCATTTGATACACCTGCTTCTCCTGCGACGACACATCAAAATGTCTATCATGAAAGAGGACTGTGCAGTACATACTGATTCTTTCAAATTGGCAAACGTAATAAGATGTTTAAGACAATTCGTGAACTATAATGTAAATAGTATTACTGCATGTTTTATCAGAATAGTTTGCTGTTTTGCAAATTGATGGCTGTGACATCCATCAAATGACAAAAGCATGTTTTTCAGGATCTTCCTTCAAAAGAAGATCTCCTTCCATGACTTGAACCTACCATGTTTGAAGTGGAATTTTACTACCTGGGGCATACGCCCTTCTGTCAACAGTGACATCCATCTGTACATGTCCTTTTGAGAAAAGCCCCATCTCTTTTTTTGCTGAAGCAACTTGGGATGACTAGAATACAATGAATAGGGAAAAAAATTACTTTTGATCCACTTCCATTATGAAGACAATACAGTGCATGATTTAAGTGTTACAGTGGTATAGCAGGGCATGATATCCAGGCCCTCAAGACCACAAGTGAATACTACTGCACTACCCTTTGAATCTCATCACCCACTGTACAGTATGTCGTTGTGAGCAGTTTTCACAGGTACTAGTATACTTTTTACAGAAGAAATAGCATCTATGAAAACTGTCAACCGCTCAGTTGGTGAATTATCCAAAGTAACTGGGATATTGTTATTGTATAGACGTATTGCTGTTGAGATTTTTTTATCGAATTTTCCAAAACATTTCATCAGTTAAAATTCAAATCCAAATTCTTATAGCTCTTTTTCACAGAAGACATTTTGTCATTAGCAGGAAAAGCACATGTGAAGCTATTACCATTAATGGTTGATGTGTTGTATTTACTATAAGTTTTCCAGGAAGCCAAACCAGCGAGTGAGAATGTGCCATAACTTGACGCTGGAACTGACACCTCTAAATGGAATGTAGCCATCATTACTGTTACTAAATACAACAGTGCTTTTCCTACGCTTTTCCAACATGTTGAAAAAGGCTGTGAAAAAGTCCTATTACCTCCATTATACTGTGGTGGTGGAGCTGGATATTAAACTAAAACTATCTGTGTAGCTAGGTAGAACTGCAGATGAATGAATGTGGTTTAAGTGAGTGATAACAATACTTTTCAATTCCAATAGTCTGTTTCTCTCCTATGCAACAACCCCCATGAAAAGTAAAATCACATTACAAAATATCATCTCTATATACAATATTGTACCAAAGGGCACATATTTTCCTGTCAACTGACATATCAGAGATGTGTGTATGAATGGTTAGATGTTTACACACCATCAGAGACTGAAGATTTGGAAAGGACTTGGAGACGAAATGTATCTCCTTTTCTACTTTACGGTCCATCCTCCAACTCCTGGACAGCGCAGCTTCCAGCTTGTAAACAATCTTTCCATGAGTCCCCTTGAAGGATGAAGGCATGCTTCTGTATTGGAGAACAAGCAGATTAATATCAAATCAAAAATTGAAGTAACACTTATATAATGTGGCAGGAGTAAGCTATTTGGTCCTGCTTGTTCAAAACAATTACATTGTCACTACAAACATTACGTTTTGGTAAACTTGTCTTACTGTACTTACCCTGGTGGTATGTTGAAGCTAAATTTATAGACATGGGTCCCTCGGGGAATGATGGTGTCTGAAAAGGAAATAATGTTGGTGTTAGTACTGACAGTAGTCTACTATTATTACTAGCCACTCCTAGCATAGTGCAAATAGTAATAAAGACGGTGGTGGAGAGTATAACATGCTTTTACTCTCATACTCTTCATTTTAATATGGCATATTTTGTCCACTACATTAATGTTGTTGTTGCTGTAATCTAATTATTAATCACTTTGCACCGTTATAGAATAAACTACAACCTAAAGTAGTTAAAATGAGTTCCAGTTTATTTTAGTTTTAGCTGAGAAGACTTGTGTGCTTTTACTTAAGTTTTGAATGTGGAAATCAAACAAGTAATCACCATCACTGGACAAAAAGAAGAGAAAATAGCATAAACGTACGATCAGGCAGGGACAGAGAAGGCCTGCACCATGCCAGATTTAACTATATGGGTTGTAGGGCATGCAGGACTAACAAAACCACTACCGCCTACCCTTGGATTCCACTGGGACTAAAAACTGCTTCAGTTTGAAATATCTCCTTTGTGCACTGTATGTATGGGAGTGATCGCCCCTCTTTTGCGTCCAACGAACAACAGCGTCTCCCTTAGCTTTAATATGCAGACTCTGAACCGTAATTTCCTTGATTAAGTCCAGTGTTACTTTTCCAGTTAAACGGTCTCCCTCCGAAAACGTCCCGTTCTCATTCACCGCGTCCAAAGTCATCGTCAAGCTTCTAATGGAAGGCATTGTCGTAAGTAAATCAAGACTATGCCGGTTAAATGATTAAATAAATGCGATGATCGATCTTCAATTTCTAAACGTTTTTGCTATATGTTATTCTGATGACACGGCAACACGGCACCCATGGCGGCTGGACCCTAGATAGTGGGATAAGACACGCCCTACCAAAGTGTGTTCAAAGACCTCTACTGCCATCCAATGTATAAAGGAGAAAATGGGGGAGAGGGAAATGGGGACTCATCGTAGGAAACGAGTGCAAAAGCACTTTGCACTCAAGTATAATAAAGTACATTTCCCCCTAACATCACTTATTGTGCCAATGAAAAGAAGATATCTTGTGCTGCATCATAGTATTCACAAACTTAGGAGAACATAAAATAACTGGTTGCTTTTATTCTGAAGGTTACCACCTACAGCGGAAGTCTTGCTGGAAATGGGAAAAAAATGCTGATTTTAGTAAAGAGTTACACCTTATATTCTTCATGAAGGATCAAATTGATTTTAAATAATTTTAGAATTTATGGTCAGAGATATTTAAAATGAAAATCATGAACTAAAATTACTCATGTATGAAGAAAAGTAAATAAAAAGTAAAAGAAAGCTGTGTGGGAACAGGTGGGGAGACCACCTACTGCGCGTGTCATAGGCATGGATACATTAAAACACCTTGATCCTGGATCCAAAATGGCGCCTATCCATTCTACAGAAATGTCCGTGGCTGAAGGAGGCCACGGTCAAAGCGGTCGGCCATTTTCTTGACGACTCGTCAACTTAATTCTAGTCTCATGTAAGTTTGATCAGCCTGTTTTATTTAATGTAATAGCATAATTTGAGGTACCTGTTTGCAATTACAAATAGCCTCGGTATCTTTTTTCCTGCTTGTGTACTTTGGCAACCTTGTTACCGTAGTAAAAACAACGATTCTTTGAGAGTGTGGTTAGCTTAAACCCAAAGGCCTCTTAGGTTTGTGTTTTGCACAAGTTCAATTAACACCAAAATGCTCTGAAAATGTTAGTGTAGGTAGTGTTGTAATTTGTTGTTTATGAAGTTTCCCTCAACGTGGCACTACATCGCAAAGTAGTGCCCTTAGTTTGTCAAACCAACGTATGTGCTAGCACCTTTTTGAGGTTTAAGGTGAGGCATACAACTGTGGTGAAACCATAAAATGACACTTACGTGTTCATGCCATGGAGTTAAAAGGTACCTGTAAAACACCTGGGGTGTAAACCACGTCATTAAATACTCCCAGGGCTAGCGCGTGAACCGCTGTAGTTGTCGAGCTAACCTTAATTGGCTAGTGGAACTGACCATAGCTTCGGGGACTCCTCTCTGTTTTCTCTCTACTGTCCTTTTTACTTACCCCTGGCATTTCGTTCTGTACAAATTTAGTGAAGAGGGAATATAAAGCTTTCCGTGCAAACCAGCCTGCTAAATCTTAGTTCGCAAATGTAATTTAGCTCGTACTAAAGGAACAATAAATTCAGGAATTTTATAAAAAACATGTAATTAACATTGACTCATGTATCACAGCTGTCTGTAAACGATGGCTCTGTATTGAAAGAGTGTTTAGTCTGACAGAGGAGGTTATAAAAAAAGTAAATGGTGCAACACCACTACCAAGCTAGGTTAGCTACCTAAACTAAAATGAGTCCAGCAACGTTTCCAAAAGTTTCTGTTTTAAGTGCTTGAAAACTCTGGAGTAATGGAAGCCAGGCATTAATGTAGCCAAATTCATGTGTTTTAAAACTAAAATGAATTAGTTTGGACATAGCTTGAGGCTCAGTGTTTGCGCTTGTGTCATCCATATTGCCAGGTTTGCTTTGAGTGAACCAAGACAGATAGAGGAAGTGGTCCTTCCATGGCAGATAGAGGAGGGGGTTGACATCAAGAAATCTTACCTTTCCATTGACTAGAAAAGGCCGATGTAAAGGGCAGCACAGAGGCTCTGATCATGACAGCACAAGAACAGGCCCTAAGCACCAGATCCTTAGAGGCAGGGGTGTACCACAACAGACAGGACCCAAGGTGCAGGATGTGCAAAGATGCCCTGAGACAGTCCAGCGTGTAGTGGCAGGGTGTAAGATGCAAACTGGGACAGCATACACTGAGAGGCATAACCAAGTGGTTGGGAAAGTTGGAAAAGAGAAGAAGGGGTCAGTTGTGATAGGTGTGGCAATGCCAGATGACAATAACAACAGAAAGAAAGAGCATGACAAGTTTGAGAAGTACCAGGGACTGAATGAACAACTGGAACAGGTGTGGGAGGTGAAGTCCAAGTTTTTCTACACAGTATCTGTACTTAGGAGGCTAGTATGCAATTTTGGATGAAATGTTATTATAGAAATGTCTTTGTTGAGCATATTAACCGTGTCTGAACTGTGCCACTTCCACTTTTCAAGAGTGCTTGATATTAGCTCAACTAGATAAGAAAATGTAACTTCAGGAACAGAGTGATGTCTTCATAGCAAAAAGTGAGAAAAACACAAAACATGTTGTTTCCATGATCCCAAAACAACTAGTTTGTTTATCATAAGTTATTTGAATCACATGAAAAATAAGAAATAGTTGATTTTTTTTTTTCTTGTAAATTTTTTCTTTCTTATTGTCGTCACTGCAGCCAGCTGCTTCTGAATAGGATTCCTTTAGTGTTAATTGTTCAGGAGGTTTTTACCTGGAGCCAAATTATCCACAGTGGTCTGCTCCTCTGCAAAAGAAATGCACCTGGTGATTTAAATCTGGTAAAAACACAGAATAAAGCAGTTTCATGTTTTTAAAAAAAAAAAAAAAAAAAAAAAAAAAAAATCAGTGTTTCTCTGATGCTGTTCAGCGGACACAGGACATCTCAGCGGGGCTGCCTGTCCTGCTGCTGACTAACATTTGCTCAGCTTTGTTCTGATAACTTAAGATCCAGACATCTGGTGGCAAAAATCCCTCATCCAGTTAAAATATATGGTTAAAATGACCAAGAGTTAAATAGTGTAACTTGAAAATGTATCTTAAAACTGAATATAAAGTAAATTTTGTCTGCTTCTGGCAGACAACCACAATGCTGATACATGTGCAAAGGGGATATGACGTCATTGACAGGCGGCCAAATGAAACGGGCTGTTACCTTGATTAAAATCACGGATTTGAAAATTGCTGGAAAACATTTGGGATAATGTAAGTATATAACCCAAATATATATATAACAGGCCTAGTTGTTTTTAGATATTTTAATGCAGAAAAGGTACATATACCTTTTTAAGTCTTTTAAGTATTAAAATGCGACATTAAACATTGGTTAACAAGTGTGATGATTCTTAAAATGACATCTGATCTCAATCCCTTACAGTCTAAATATCTGTCACATATTTATGACAGATTAATGAAGATGAAAACTAATGACCTGTTTTTCTGCTTGCCTCTCTCCATGTAGTTGGACTATTGATTCATGTTTTGAATTTCTCTTAAGATGGACAGGACAAGTAATCAAGTCAGGACAGTGGATTTATATTCACTGGCAAACTGAAGTGATGGCATTCCTTATATGGGAATTTTAGTCCATCAAATTATTTTGTAAATTAATTGAATAACATGGAGTTTGGAGAATACCTTAACATTGTCAAGATGATTACAGATACCACATTATGGAGCACAGACTGAATAGATTTGTCTGATAACAATTAAATCAGGATCTGATCTAACAGGAGGTGAATATTTATTTTACAGACTTGGAAGGCTGTTGGGAATTGTTTTGACTTCAGCTTCTTGTGCATGCCCCCTGCTGCTTTTGCCTGCTCTCTCTGCTTCCCAGGTGGGGTGCAGTTAACCTCGAACAAGCCTTTTTACACATCCCAAATCCATACTAAATACTACTTATATGTTTTTAACATAAAGTGTGTTTCCACTGGGAAAGTAAAAGAGTATAGTGAAATCAGAAAGATGCTGTTGATGGATACTATTCTCCCTCAATGCAGTGCACAAAGGAAATGTGGTGTGAGTTGGTCGTGTGAGGATTACATTACTGTGCATTGACAAAATAAATCTGTATCCATCGAATTTGGGTTTATTAGCAGTTAAACAGTGGTCTTTGTTTTCAGGCAAAGTTGGAAACTTGTAATTATCATAACTCTGATATGACATGACATGAATGCACCTTTTTTTTTTTCTTTTTTCTTTTTAAGTATACTAACTTCTAAAATTATATACTAGTATAGTACATACTGTATAAAATTAGTATGTAATATGGATTTTGAACACAGCTCAAGTGACCTCTTGTGTTCATCCAAAGTAAATGTTAATCGCTAACTAAATTGATGATATAAAGTTTCTGTCTAGAAATTCAAATTTTGCTTTCACATACTTTATCGTAGTATAGTAAATAATTATATATATGCTTTATAATTGACATATTATTTACTTCTAAATAGGGGTTTGACAATCATTGTGGCAGTTACAATTAAATTGTGACAAATACAATTAATAACTCATGCGGACAGTTCCCTCTTTCATATTGTTGCAGAAAATCACATACAAGCACACTGAAAAGTAAAAACACAGACTAACATTTTAGGCCTCCACAAACACTGTCTTCTGTTCACTGTCTGTGGTTAAAGTCATAACTGTAACTCAGTAACACTAAAATTACCAGCACAATGTTGTGTAGTAGTGCCTTTCTAAAATACCTCTCATGGAGCACCAGGGATGTCATAGGAAAAGTAATAAAGCATTTCCTTAATTTCATATACAAAAAAAACATAAAACGCTCATTAAATAAACCATTTAGAAATACATTTGTTATTTCATGAATAGAAACTAGAATTTGAAAATCTATTTGAAAAGGCATTTTAAAAATGGGAATACATACCTGGATTCCCATCTAAAACTCACTAGTTAGCTCTCTAACCAATCAGAGAGCTTGTTGCATCCCATGGCCAATTGGGATTGCTCAATCTGGTTTTACCAGCACTAAAGGCTCAGAGTGTCACAGAAAGGCTAAATGGAGTGGCTAAAAGGAGAAGCTAAATGACTAAGCAAATCAATTAATAGGAAATGGAAAAGCTGCTGGAAAAGGGAAATGGAAATTGAAGAGGGAATCCAGGTATGCATTCACATTTTTAAAATGGCTTTTCAAATAGTTTTTC